TTCCGACGGATGCGAAACGCGTGCTATGTCACCCGCGAGACGCCCGCGGCGCGCCGCTACACCGAGCGACGAATCCAGTGACAATAAGGTGCGTGCGCGACGCAATCCGCCCGCTATGCCCGACGGTCCCCGACGTCATGACTTCCCTCTGAACCGAACCGAGCACTAACTGCCGCGTAAATATAGAAACTCGACGCAGAACAGGAACACGAGGCGCTCGAGCACACGCCTGGCTCAACCACTACACATGCGTACATACTGTTACTGCATTTTGATGGCAAATATAAATAAACCAACGTCACGAATAAAATCAAGTTTCATTTATCAATGTAGCGTACGTTACTAAGGTACCAGAAACCACAACATGACGTTACCTAGTACATGATATTGAGGTCGCGCGATCTTGCGCTGCGCAGTGCACCTCAGTTTCGGGGTTGCGCTCGTGTCCCTGATATTATTCAGTCAGGCCAAATAAGTCGGTTGAGTGCAATCCTTTCGCCCGTTCCGCAGATAACCTTTGTGGATATCCGCCACAAGTAGGTCATTTAAGCAAGAGTGCATGAACATCTTGCAATAATGTAATTTTGACGACCTCGGTGGCCCAGCGGGGTACTGTGGGTGCTAGGTGCGGAGGTCCCGGTTCAATTCCCGGCCGGACCAATTTGGGAAACAAAGTTTTATAAATTGTTTCTTTGTTAATTTCGTTGTTCTGCTACTCATAGCACACAGGACAATCCCTAGTTTTATTGGTGTAGTGGCAACATAAATATATAATGTTACTTCTCGTTGCGATCCAATATCAGGGGGTCTACTCTCGATCTCCATCAGACATCCGTCCGAAACAATTACTGTCAAATAGGTAATATTCGACAAAATTAAAAGACAAGTATTAAGAATGAAGCTTCATTCGCATCACGCGTCTTTTCATTTGGTCAAGTATTACTTATTTGGCAGTTATTGTTTCGGACGGATGTCGGACTGAGATCGAGAGTAGACCCCCATACGAAACATAGCAGTCTGTGTACTGAAATTGCAAATAATTATATTAAATATCTAGATTATTACCATGTTAAAATAAATATTTTCCAATGCTGGTTCAATAGAGTTTTGGACAATGTACATACATAAATTGACAAAGGGGATGAAACATTGAAACATATTGTTTAAAACGATCAAGGTCAATGTACTATACGTACATATTATGTAGCGTTCAACCACTACATGAACAAACTAATTTAACAACTGATTCAATAACAATAAGTTGTAGGAGCAAGGAAGTCAATATTTAAAACTTGGAAATTTAAACTACTGTTAAATATTTTAACCCAAACATTTCATCAGTGAAGCTAGAAGTCAAGTGGTAAATAGAGACTTACACACTAAGAAAACAATAAAAAATCTTGCCAGTAGATCGCACCAACAGAAAGCAATTTAAGATATACCAGAACTCTAAAAGCAAGGCCTGCTATAGGACTGCATCCTTGGGTGTCTCAATATTCAGCTGGAGCAATGCTGGACAAGTCCTGATGACATTACAGGAAAATGAAGAAGAAGTTTAAAAAACATATTTTAATAAACAAAAATATAAAAGGTTGAAGAAAACATTTTCAGGTTTAATATGTTAGTTTGAAGAACCAACAATGTAAATGGTGCTTGTGAAGCTTAAACAATAAAGTAAAATTTGGCCTCCTAACTAAAGTCTGCATTAACAAAAGTAAATATTTGCTATTTCTCTCCCAGAAGAAAAAAAATGAAAGAATGCTACGCACAGCTCACGGCATCTTCTCTAGTACATTGTTTTGTTACAATATTAGTACAATCAATATAATGTGATGATTCCTTCCAAGTAGTTATAGACTGCCATATTATTTTAAATTACTACCAGTAATCTACCATCTGAATAACATTATGTATGCAATAAAAGTACTAAGTATTGTCATATTACGGTCTTCTATCTATTAATTATTAGGGTAGAGCTACAATAGTAATCTTAATACCTTGAAATGGTATACTCTACTATCTTTTGAAATAAGATAGAATATTATGACTAACAGCTTAAAAAATTTAATCCAAACCACAGTGTGATCCAAACTGTAAATCAAATATAACATGTCAGATTGATAAAACAATAATATAACAGAATGGTACACTCGAAGCTCTATTGGAAGTTTATAAGCAGTTCTATAATAAACTACAAGTTGTAAATCAATATACAGTGGACAATGAATGATAATCTTCGTATGCTACAATTTTCCATCTTAAGCAAGCATCATCAACAATCCTGCTGTCATTTGGATTCCTCATCATTAAAATGGGATTTTATGATTAAAATTTGAATAACTTTCAAACACAGATCAAGTAAGTGCATGGAGATTAATCATCAGATAATAACATACATTTATATGTTCTAAATTTTGAGATTTTTTTTATTTATTTAATAGTAAACGAAAATAACTTATTAGGTGTTTATAAAGGTACATTGTTTATCCTATCTCAATACCTCCAATGAACACTATGCCAACTGTATTTTTTTGGTCACTTTCTTTTATTTTTTGTAAACAGTCATTTTTATTTACTAATATTATGATCCTCGAACTTTGTGGAAAAAAATAAATAAAAAATAATAAAAATAAAAAAACGAATTTTTGAACAACATAAAGAAACACAACAAAATAAAAAACAACAGGTCCAACTGTTATATTGGCGTCACAGATATAGTGTTCATTGGAGGTATCAATCTGTTGAACTTATGGTCTTTATAGGTAACATATGACTAAATTGCCAATACACAATATGAGTACTCTTGAAGTGACATAAATGTACTCAAATATTATAATATAGGAAAATTTATTTCATGTTCAAAATTTAAAAAACTCTTTATTCTTAAATGTATGTTATTATTTTTTTAAGCATAAATAGTTATAAAACTTTAATTCATAATGTCATGCCTATCCTTCAATGTCTATGTAGTGTGCTCAAATGTTAAAATTAAAATGTAATCAACAGTTATTACCTACCTCTTGCTGCTGCGGTTTCCAACATCTTCAACATTTTCACTTGATTTTTCTGCCTCATCCTGTAACAATAAAGAATATGTTAAAGCTTATATATAATATTTAAATATTGATATTACGCTATTACTACTATTATAATTTTTGATTTTGTACAGAAGTTAATTGAAATAAATAAAATAGTATCCTACTTCAATGATGTATGGTTTAAGTACAGTAGAACCAGCACACACTGAATTGTGCAAATTGTCACTTCAATATTCCAAATAAAAACCCTAAATACATGTAGTAGATTTAATTTCGATATGGACAATTGTGATAGTCTGTATTTATCTATGACCCATCATACTAGTAAGAAATAGTAGCTGACAGTGTGTCAGTAGCTGCAAAGTTAGACTGGTATGGTTGTATCTATTAGATTCTGTGTGTTAATCTGTCTATCTTGGGTACTATATGCCTTAACAGCCTTAAAAGGCATCAATTAAAATATCATATTACAGATAGTAGGGGTATATGATGTTTGTGTTAGTACAATTAAATTACATACAATAATTTGTACATTCAAATTACATGAAACAGTTAACCATAGACCTTGTGCTCTTCTAAAAAATATTCCACAAAGCGACAATGTACACCATGGGAGCAAGGACCATGTAAATATAAATGGAATAAAATGATGTATGTACTTTCATGAAACTTGGTATGGCAATCAAACATACAATAGGTCAATAATCAGATTTGCTCTCAAGAAGCCCAGTGAGTCTTGTTTGCTTGACATAAAAGGTTGAAATGTAACTTGTTGAGCTTGAACAGGTGAAGGACCCAGTAGCTATTTCTTTCATTGTTCTTATTTAGCGACATAAGTTTCAAACGTAATTGCTATCTACTAGAACGACAATTCGACCACAAATCTAAAGAACAAGGACGAACGAAAGCTCTTGTTTCCATCTGTCATTCTTTTTCATGATAGCACCATGCAAAAATAACATCAATGAAGTACATCCGCCTTTGTTACTTACCGTTTTCCTTGGTGTTTGCACACTCGGAGAACGACGAATTGTAACAAGTGCCATAACACATTAGCCCTATCGAATCATTATCAAAGTAATGCACAATCACAAACATAAAGAGAAATATTGACTTATCAACATAATTATTTCTAATCTCCCGATGAATCACTAAATGCAGAGTTACACCTAAGAGTGTAAGTTACTAAACTGTAATCATAACAGTCGCGGCCGTAACATTACTGTACGAATAATCACAACTTTGCTTGCTCAATTTATAATTTTATTTCGGATTTAGCAACAGCAAGTCAAGCAAGCAAAGGGATGAAATGAATGGTGAATGAAAGGTTGGAATGATTGACAATGAAGAACAATTTTGAATGAAATTTACTGAGCTGAATGAACGAACTTAAATAGTGTTTCGCCAATTAATAATAATGAATACTCAAAAATGTTACGGTTTGAAATAAAACCAATAATATACTCTATGGCTGAGGGTAATTTTACGAGATTTTTTTCCGGAAAACTACCGGATAATTTGAAAAATATAATTTATACGGTTACAAATATCTTTTGAAGTATAATTTAGCATGAATTATAAAATAAACTCGTATGTATAAAAGTCACTTATGAGAAAAACGAGATTTAAAATGATTTCACAAAAGCTAAAAAAAACGGTATGTCTCCATCATTTTCGTTCATTAACTTCAACTTTTAACAGATCTCAACGTGAAATGCGAAATTAATGGGAAAATGATTTATTTTTCTCAAAAATATGATTTTTTTCAAAATGGAAATTTTAGAACTTTTGTTTATTTGTATGTATCGAATCGATTCGTAACTCGTGATCGACTCTGTGCTGTGAGTTTGTGATATGGTGGAGGACTCTATTGACAGTTATTTTTATGCAAAGGAAGATTGTTTTTACTTTTGGGAATTGATTTACGTAATTTTGCTATGTTGTGAAATAAAAAAAGTGAAATGTTTCATTGCTAAATATGAGCCGTGATTTGAAAATTGGTATGACATCATTACAACTGTATAAATATCTGCTGCGACAATGCGAAAAGTTGCCGCCAGATGCATGTTTACATTATAAGTTTGCTGTGAAACAGGTAACTTTAGGAACTAGATTTACAAAAAGAAATTACTAAACTAATCAGATTTTCTCTCATGGTATATGGTAGAACGTTTATCAAAATCCAATGCTTTCGAACATAAATTACCACTATAAACAAATAAGTAATACATTTTTCATTTGGGCATTATTCTTTTTAGAGCTACAAACAACACAAATTTGAACCTGACCCAGAACGAGTTCAAGAAATAATCGCGAAAAGCATCGAGGATGCTAAGTGGATTTTGAACAAGGTGTTTGTTTAAATGTGTGCACTGTATTTATTTTCTTGAACCTTTTTATTAATGTATATTTTAACTTTTTTTTTCAGTACACATCAAAATAATGGACATAGTAGAGAGCCTTAGTAGAATAGCTACACTGTTTAAATTAATTTATGATCATAAAATATTTTAAAGAATGAGTGTGTTCGGAGAGAAGATAGAGGACTACGAAATACTTGAACATCTAGGCAAAGGAGGATTCGCACATGTGTACAGAGCAAGATGTCGCCGTACAGGTTTGTTTGTTGCTATCAAGATGATAGACAAAGCTCTAATGGCAAGTGCTGGAATGATAGGACGAGTTAGACAAGAAGTCACAATACATTCTCGCCTTAAACACCCTGCTATACTAGAGCTATACACTTTTTTTGAAGATGCACATTATGTTTACTTAGTTTTAGAACTAGCACACAATGGAGAGCTTGCAAAACACTTCAAACTAGGAACTAGAGGCTTGTCTGAAAAAGCTGCTGCTGATATTTTTAGACAAGTGGTAAGTGGAGTTCTGTATCTCCATACGCACAACATTATTCACAGGGATCTGTCCCTGAACAATTTATTACTAACAAAAGACTTGAATGTCAAGATTGCTGATTTTGGGTTAGCTACTCAATTAAATGGTCCTGATGAAAAACATGTCACCATGTGTGGAACCCCTAATTATATTTCCCCAGAAGTTGCTTCCAGGGAGTTACATGGACTGCCAGCTGATGTGTGGGGCCTGGGCTGCATGCTGTACACCCTATTAGTAGGCAGTCCTCCCTTCCACACCCAACATGTCAAAACCACTCTGAATAAAGTGATCAATGCTGATTACAAAATTCCTTCAGAATTATCAATTCAAGCGCAAGATTTATTACAAAAACTGCTATGCAAAGATCCAACCAAAAGAATCACACTTAAAGGCATTATGGAACATCCCTTTTTATACAATATCTGCACACCTAGTATAACTAAGCAAGACTTATCTAGAGATTCTGGTTTCCTAACAACAATGCACAGCACTCACACAATGCATAGTAACAAAACACGAAACGATAGAACAGGTTCTGATTATGTAGGTGTCTACAGAGATCAAAATATGGGCAATTATGTCAACAAAGAAGACATCAAGCCTGCTTCGTTTAATGTCTTCAGCGGAATGCAGGACAATCAGTCTCTATCTAATCACAGTAATGGATGTCACAACCATGGAATATGTATGGGCAGTGATAAAGGTTTGGTTGGGTTACTCAACATAAGACAGAATCAACCCATTACCCATTTACCAATACAGAAATTTGATGGGGCTTGTAATAGTAGCATCACACTTTTGGAAAATATGAAAAAAATGGATCTTAAAACGCACAAACCTGAAGGTTCCATTGCATCTGGTATAGATGAGAACAAAGAAACTTCATCCAAATCTTGCAAAATAAACTCAAATACCTTGGGAGTCCCTCCACTTTGTGCTGACAGACTGCCTAATATATCACATAGGACCCGTAATGCCATTCTAAAAATAGAACCTAGTGGTGTTATTGTAGAATTTTTAAAAAAGAAAGGTAAAGACAGAGAAGAGAAAGTTGTTGAGATCTGCAAAATAACTAAAGATGGCATGAAGATAGTTATTTACAGTGTTGATGTAAGCAAAGACAAAACCAATCTTGGTCAAGAACATGATCCCAAACCTGATGAGGTCTTTACTTATCACAATTTACCATCAAAACATTGGAAAAAATATTTGTATGCTGCAAGATTTGTAGATCTTGTAAAAGCTAAGACACCTAAGATAACACTTTATTCAGCACTAGCAAAATGTCAACTTATGGAGAATGGGACAGATATAGATATGTTTTTTTACAGTGGAGAGAAAGTCACATATTCACCTACAGAGGGGTTGAAAGTTATTGATAAAACCTTAAAAACTCGTCATAATCCTGCTGCAGTTGCAGAACTGAAATATTTGAATGATCATTTTGAGGAATGTTATAATCGCATGAAGAGAATACAAGGTGCATTGTCCTGCATTCCTGATGAATGCTTCCCTTTGATAATAGGCAAAAGACCAGTGCAAGCAGCTGCTATTGTAGCCTCCCCGCTGCAAGGTTCTGTAAACGTAAACTTTAATACGCCGCTTTTGAATATAGGATCTTTTCATCGCACAGCTAGTTCTAGTCAAGCCCCAAGTGAATACTTGTCATAGCAGAATGCCATTTTGCCTGAAAGACAAATGAGTCTTTAAATAATAACTGTAAATGTTATTTCCCCTTATGTCTGTTTATTAATATTTTGGTTTTGTAATCTCTTCCTTATGTGAATTTTAACTACTATCTTAAGATTGCTTAAATAAACTTAATGCGAAATTTACTTATTTGTGAAAAATGATGAATGAACTCAATTTCATTGTGTAGACAACTTCATTTTGAAGGCTTTTTACATTAGGTATAACTTTATTACATAGTATTTTAAGTTACATAATTCTTATTGAAATAATTCCTCACAGTAATTTGGTATATTATTTTAGTGTATATTTAATTTGTTATTATAATTTTAGTGCCTTTATAGAATGATACTATGTTATAGGTATTTTTAGGTATCATAGTATAGAATAAAATAATATTTTCTATAAATATAATACTAATGTACTCATTTTCCCCATAAACAGTTGTTGTACTATACTTATATGAACCAAAACATCAAGTACGTACTTAAATATACTTTACATAATTTGAAAGATACTGGTAGAGTCAAGAGCGCATCAAGCTTAGCAATTTGAACCGTTCGTATCGTAAGTACCTATCATAGATGTGATATTAACCCTTAAAGTATTAAATTGTACTAAATCTATGGCTCCTGACCTAAACCGAAACTAAGTGGATGCTGTATTATAGCTTTTAGTAATGTGTATTTAGGATACCCTGAGCTGACTTTTGAGAAGTTAATTTCAAAATATAAAAAATATTGATGAAGCGTTTTTTCGACAGACGTACCTAGTTTTGTCTACATATCTCCTACAATAAGTACATATATGTCTGTGGTACCCGTTTATTATAGATATGTTTTTACTCAGTAGCGCGTAAATAGTTGAACACAAGTATTCCAAATATTGTAAAATGGAATACTTTTCATTTTTAATTGTGATAGCTTTGTATGACGATATACTTGCAGTACTGATGATAGGGTACAAACAATGCCCAAAAGGTAGACTTCAGTGTTTGTTCGGCCCCCGCGGCCCGCTTTTACAACTATATAGCAGGTAGTGTGGCAAAAACAGAAAATACGGCTGTGGTGTCCGTCAGGATGGCAACTATTTACTACCTGATTTCTACCTTAACATACTTTTTTCCACTATTTTAGGAAACTTCTATAAAAAGTTATTTGAAAAATAATAAAACGCCTTTGAAAAAGGTATCTTCTAAAAAGATAGTTTATCTTCTCCGTGTCATTGCTATATGAATAACTGATTATAATTCGTTCGCATTCCGTAACACCTACAAATTATTTTATTTATTTTTATTTATTTATTTATTACATAAAATTAAACAAACTATGTTTAAAAACAATGTAACATAAACTGTAGGTTTTCCCGTACATCGTTATATTCGTCGGCGGTAGTCTGACTGTGTTAATAGTAAAGCGGGTAGATTTTTGTTTTGCTCATACCTGGAATTAACATTTGTAATAGTGAATTCAACTAGTAATTAATATAATAATTGTTATAAAATATTACTTGCAATGATAATCCAGAAACCATTGTTGGCATATTCTAAGCGCCTGCAAAGGTATTGTTAGCAAAAGAAAAACTACAGGTGAGAAACTGAAAATCAGTAAACTATAACTTCACCTTTTTGTTCACATTACACAATTATATTTTATCTTGTAACTATTGTGATATCAGTTTTATGGAGCAATTAATGACTTTTTATTTTACTATGTATTTTCGAAATAATGAAAATTTACCAACTTTTTGTTATTGGAAGTAGTTAGAAAGCGGTGTTTAGCATCATTAATCATTAGAAATGAGCGGTAGTATCACAAACTGTCTAGCAAGTATTATCTGTGTTACTTTAAATACGTTTTGGGGAATTTATTGCTCCCCTAACAAACAATAAAACGGCCTCATGAACTTTGTGAATTATAATTATAATTATTTTGTTTCGTGGTTTTTACAGGATTGTATCAAATCGAGCAAACAATTTGCAATCGCTGATATGACAATATATGTAATAAAAAACTGTCAAACATTTACGGCAAGTGTGACACTCTCCTTGGCGACTCTCGTTCAAAGAGACTGCCACAGCCAGCCGGTGATAATAGGCGGCGTCTAAAGCCGCCACACCACCCGCCCACGGAGTGAAGAAACCGAACTTAAAAACAAAAATTAGCCTACTGAACAAAATCACTAAAATCTTTAAAACGCACATGCCTTCCTGACCGGGTCGTGTACGGAGTGCCGGGCGAGGAGATGGTTGGTTTGTCTGAAGGAACTGAAGACGGCAACTGCGGCGGGACTGTAGCCAGGGGATGCCTAGTCGGTGGCACGCAGGTGGGGGTCGGAAGCTATCGGTGACATCAGCATCGATGTGCGCAGGTTTCACACGATCGATGCTGACGGTGACTGTCCTTCCGCCGACGTAAAGCGAAATTGTCTTGTCCCTTCTATCGAGGACGCAGTGAGGTCCGGAGTACGGCGGTTGCAACGATCTTCGAGACGTGTCGTCCCGAAGAAATACGGAAGTGGCCGTCGCCACATCCTTAAATACAAAAGACGAAGGCCTGTCGTGGTGAGATGCAGGAACCGGCCGAATCGAAATCATCGCACGTCTCAATTGCGTTATTAAATCAGATGTCTCTGCGGGGCTGATTAGTTTAGGAGGAGCAACAATGAACTCGCCAGGAAGGCGGAGGGTCTCGCCGAAAACGAGTTCCGCTGACGACGCATTGATGTCCTCCTTAAAAGCTGTCCGGATGCCGAGAAGCACCAGAGGCAACGCTCTCGTCCACGTATCAGCGTGGCACATGAGAGCTGCCTTGAGCTGACGAAGGAGGCGTTCCACCATGCCATTAGCGCAAGGATGGTAACTGGTGGTGCGGATTCTTTTCGCTCCGCAGAAATCCATGAGTCGCCGAAATAGCGCCGACTCAAATTGACGCCCCTGATCGGTGGTGACGATGCTAGGAACACCGAAACGGGCAATCCATCCTGATACTAATTTGTCGGAAACTACTTCTGCAGTTATCGTCATCATCGGCCAAGCCTCCGGCCACCGCGTGTAACGGTCTATGGCGGTCAAACAATAACTTAAACCGTTAGAACATGGAAGTGGGCCGATGATGTTGATGTGCAGATGACGGAATCGATTCGTAGGTTGATCAAATCGACCAACAGGTGATTTAACATGCCGCGATACCTTACTTCTCTGGCACTGAACGCAGCAACGTGCCCACTCGCGACAATCTTTGTTGATGTTAGGCCATACGTAGCGACTTGCTACCAAGTGTAAAGATGCCCGTGCACCAGGGTGGCTTAGGTTATGGCAACGGTCGAAAGCAGCTCGACGGAACGGGGAAGTGAGATAAGGTCGAGGGCGACCAGTTGAGGTATCACATATTAGAGTGATGTTGGCGCCCTGTTCCAATTTCAAGGCCGATCCTTCTTGCATTTTCGCCAACTCTATGTCAGACATTTGAGACTGAGCTAGTGCGGCGAAATTGTCTTCGAGTGAAATTGCCTCGATGCGGGATAAAGTGTCCGCGACGACGTTATCTTCACCCCTAACATATTGAATGTCAGTTGAAAATTGGCTAATAAAAGATAGCTGGTTCAGTTGCGGTGGAGGTAATTTTTCACGACGTTGTACGAAGGCGTACAGCAGTGGCTTATGGTCAGTATATATGGTCACGTGTTGCGCTTCGAGAATGTGGCGAAAATGTTGTACGCTTTCGTACACCGCCAGCAATTCCCGATAATAAGCATGCCACTGAGCTTGCCGAGGAGTAAATTTCCTGCTGAGGAAAGCAAGGGGATTCCAGGCACCGTCCAAATGTTGCTGAAGGCAAGCACCAACATGAACACTTGATGCATCGGTAAATAATCCAATCCGTGATCGGGTGTTGCAATAACGTGGCACTAGATAGGCTAGCTTTACAGGCTTCGAAATGCTCCAGAAGCTCCGGCGTCCATGAAAATGGTTTAGCGCCTTTGCCATTGGTTGAGACTACAGTGTCAATTAAGGAAGCCTGAAATTTTACAGCCTGAGGAATAAAACGTCTATAAAAATTTATCATGCCCAGAAAACGGCGCATACCCTGTACGGTTTTGGGAGGAGGAAAGTCCAGTAGGGTTTGGATTCGTTCTTGCGGAGGGCGAGTGCCGTCGGGAGTTATAACGTAACCCAAAAATCGGGCGTCTCTTACCCCAAAATTGCACTTGGAAGGGTTCAAAACAACACCATAATCACGAAGGCGCTGGAAAAGAATCCGCAGGTGGTCCTTGTGGTCTGTCTGTGGCTATCTGAGGGCCTTGCAGTACCGGAGCGCACCATCTCTTCAATTTCTTTTTTAGCGTCTGCCAGTTTTTGAGGGGCCAAACAACGGGGCCGGCAAGAAACTGGTGGACCATCTGTGGTTTTGATGTGATGCAGAGTGTTGTGCTTGACGACTCTCGGAAGACCAGGCGGTTTGGTAATTTCCGGGAAGTCTAAAAGCAAGCGTGCAAATTCATTGTCAGAAACTACAGCCTTAACACTGAGTCGACTTATATTACAGATGGAGGCAGGAACAGAAAGCCTGGTAGAACCATCTCGTAACAGTTTGTTGCGGCAGTCCGGGAGTAGATTGAAATAGGCCAGAAAATCGGAGCCGATGATAGCTGTCTCGACGTCTGCAATAGTGAAATTCCATCTGAATTCGCGACGGAGACCGAGATTTAATGAAAATGTGCGACTGCCATATGTTTTTATACTGGTGCCATTGGCGGCACTAAGAGTATAATCGGAAACTTTGCATTGAGTCGACAGAAGTTTCCGAGGGAAACAGGAAAGGTCGGAACCGGTGTCAAGCAAGAATTTTAATTTGGTTACCTTGTCAGTGACAAACAGGCGGCGACCAGTGAATTGGCTGCAGTCAGCTGTCGCCATTACTGCTGACTGCTTCCTTGGTTTTCCGGAATCGGATCTGACCAGGAGCACGGCCGGACACATTTGACAGCTTTGCCCTGGTACCGACAGTGGTACCAGCACAAGCCTTCAGGCGTCGCGGACCTTGATCTAGGGCAAGATCGGCGAGAACTGGACCTTGATCGCAACTGACGTGTAGACAAAGCCGCTACCTGCTTACTGAGTGCCTGTAATTGAGCAATGATGGGTCCAACTCATTGTTAGAAGGCGCGAGTGGCGCAGTGGCGCACACAATCCCAGTACATGAGGGAGTCACTTCAAAATTTTGTCCGCCAGCTCAGCAATTTTTTCCAGGCTCAACTCAGCCTGGGCTGTCAAAATTGCCTGGACCGTCCTAGGGAGTCTCTGAAGAAATAGTCTCTTAAAATGGTCTCGTCGGTTAGGTTGCTAGACAGGGAGCGCAAGTGTCTATGAAACACGCTTGGTTTCCTATCACCGAGCTCTTCCCCAGAAATAAGCTGCCTGATCCGTTGAGCTTCGCTGGCCGAAAACCGCTTAATCATTTCAGCCTTAATCCAATTATACCGCTGGCCGAGAGGGGCTGGATTAGTAATTAAATCCTCCACATCTCTTGATAACCTAGAATCTATCTGTGATACCACATAGTTGTACTTGGTTTCGTCCTGATCGCTGATAAAGCGAACTGAGCTTCTATGTGAGCAAACCATCCGGCTGGGCGGTCAAACCAAAATGGGGCTAATTTGGGGAGAACACCATATGCCGCTGGAACGAGTGAAGGTTGTTGAGCCTCTGAGGCGGAGGAGGGGTGCCTGCGCGTGGTGGTTCATCCGCTAGTTTAGCTTTGAGCTCTACGTTTTGTCGGAATAGTGACTCGTTTTGAGCCGCGAGCTTCTCAAGTTGTGTCTTCAATTCATCCATGACAACCACACCTCGGTACGGGTAATAAAATATTAAAGAAAAACACTTACCGGCAGGAAGTCAAGTCGGAAAAAAAAAGGTTATAAAATACAATAAATACAAAATCCAAACGGTCGACGGGCGCGTGACTCGTCGCGACCACTGGTAGATGACGTAGAACGCACGTTCGCACGAATAAAAAAAAACGAACGAATATAAAAATGTATATAAGTTAATAAATAAATAATAAATAAATAAATAAATAAATAAGTCGCAGTCACCCAAAGGTCGGAGCCGGTCCTCTATGGAAACTTTGTGAATTATAATTATTTTGTTTCGTGGTTTTTACAGGATTGTATCAAATCGAGCAAACAATTTGCAATCGCTGACATGACAATATATGTAATAAAAAACTGTCAAACATTTACGGCAAGTGTGACTCTCTTGGCGACTCTCGTCCAAAGAGACTGCCACAGCCAGCCGTTGATAATAGGCGGCGTCTAAAGCCGCCACACCGTTACTGATAAACACATTATTTATTTTTTTCATTTTTTTATTACCTATGTAAATTGATGATTCAAAATTCCTGATTTTACGGCATCGGAACAAATTCAAAATATCTTCCATAAATTCTTCTTTTTTATCATAACGATAAGTTAATTTTTTTTTCTTCTTTCCATAAAGGAAAAGGCAAAGGTTTTACACCATACAGCCAAGTCTTGATACATTATTGCCATGTCTTCGTTTAATTATGTTTCTATAAATATGGCCGCCACAAAGGGGATAGGCAATTTGAGGCGGCGTGCTTGGATTGGCTCGGGATTCCTTAGAACGGGCAGATACGGGTATTTTAGTTCGAGTTTCGTATAATTTCGCGTTAATCTTCGATTAAGGCACAATAGCACTATCCTATTCCACTTTAAACTAGATTTCACAAATTAATTGAAAGTCAAAATAAAAACGACATTTTTCCCTCCAAAAGGCCCAGAGCGAATCACGATAAGTTAAACTATGTATGACAGAAATAAATAAAATTATAATCCTGTGTTCATTGACATACAAATAGTCAATGCCTGTGTTACGGAAAGAAAGAGTAACAATTTTGTTGAATTGAATGCGTCCATAAAAATATAAATACATATTTTACATCTGACAACATCGAGGATCCTCCATCTTTTTTGTCACGATGCCTCCCAAGAAGCAGCCCGAGAAATCCGGTATGTTTTACGTTCTAAATAAGTATTAGTTAGCTAAACTATAACCAGTGACGTAAATTAATCAACTCATTCTAAAAATCCACCTCCGTGATTGTGCACTTGTAAACATTTATTTTAATTTGGTTGATTATCAAGTGACAGGTTGGTTGTGGTTGGTGATATTGGCCACGCGGTTCGCGATTTTGTTTTTGTTAATTTTACACTTTTGTAAAGTATATAAAACAGTAATCTTAATTCTTCATAGTAATTTATTAATATATTGAGAAAATAATGCCATTGTAAAGTATAATTAAAGTCGACAACGAAGTTGAGGTTATCTTGTACTCATATCGCTCGTTCGTATTCCTGTTTTAGCATCGGGATCCACTGGATCCAAAACCGCAGAAAAGAAGCCTGCGACGTCTAAGACGCCTGCACCGGCTCCTAAAGCTGCTTCTACTACTACTGCTGCGCCAAAACCGGCGACTGCCAAGACACCAGCACCCGCGCCGAAGGCTGCTACACCCAAAGCCGCGGCGACCAAGTCTGTGCCCGCAGCTCCCAAACCCGCGGCTGCCAAACCCGCCGCCGCTGCACCCAAAGCCGCTGAAAAGAAGTCTGCATCAGTGCCTACAGCGAAGCCTGGGTCTGCAAAAGCTGCTGCCCTTAAAACGAAGTCCAGTGCAAAACCCTCAGAGAAGAAGAAGGCAGCGACTACCGCGAAGCCTGCTAAGCCAAAACCTGTGGCCTCTAAGCTTAAAATTGCCCCTAAACCTAAGAAGACTGGTATCAAGGGACAGAAGAAACAGGTTGCTAAGCCTGTAACCAAGGCTCTTAAGGCTCAGAAGAAGGTAATGATTTCATTATTTTGTGATACTTTGCAATTTATTTCTATAAAATTTATATAAACTTTTTACCTTAATTTTTGCAATTTCAGGTTGTAAAGGGTGAACATGGCAAGCGAGTCAGGCAAATCCGCACCTCTGTGCATTTCCGCAGGCCCAAGACCTTTGAGCCTCCTAGGCAACCCAAATACCCTAGGAAGTCTCTGCCTAAGAGAAACCGGTATGACTTTATTCATATTATTTTGTATTTTTGATAGTTGCAAGTAATTTTTCTAGTACACTTTAGTCTGGTTAGGAAAGCTTCACAAAAGAGTAGTGTGGAATGTATTGAATTACACACACAAATCATACACAGTAAGAACAATATAATTCTCAACCATATGTAAGGAAATAGTAAACAATTTAACTTGTCAGCTGATAGCTATAATGGTATCTGACTCAGTTAAGAAACTTTGTGTCACAGGTGGCACTGATGGAAAAAAAACCTACCCATTACAAAGATCTTACAAATGCATGTAGAAATTCCTAAGATCTGCTGATCTGTAACTCAGACGGGTAAGAGCGATGGCTTCGGCATGGCCACAGATATTGGTTCAAGTCCAATCACATTGTAGGAGCTTTTCTTGTGTTTTGTTTCAATAATAATACTCACAACCCACTTCAGTTAAACAGTCAGCCTGTACCACCATTTAACTGAAGTGGGTTCCTGTGGTAACTGCGAGGTGCGGGAGGTGTGACAGTTTATGTATCAGTTATGTTGCACTGAACCTGTGTGTATCGCGGGTGCTACACACATGTAGACAACCACAAATTAGACCCATACTCATGAAAGAAATATAATGTAGGTCATACAAATGTTTCTCCCGGCCCAGGAATCGGACCCGGGTCCTCTGCATGGCAGTCCAGCATGGTACCCATTTGGCCATGGAGGCTGGTAAATTGGAACTTTTCATATCGTCTGTTTAAAGGTAAAACCACATAAATGACATTTTCCACAAACAATCTCCAAATTATGTACTATACCCTGTTTCAAATGAATTGAGAGTAAAGGTAAACATTGAGTGCATTGACCCGACCATAGTCGGTTTAGTGATGGGCAATTGTAGAGTGTTTACTAATCAATTATTGAATGAATCAGATCAATTAATTGAATCTGTTGGTCTAACATCAAGTAAATTCCGCGCATTTGACCGTTGTAAATTGATTGAAGGTGATACATAAAAAAACGTTTCTTTATTTACGATTATTGACATTTATTGTTTAAAAGTTAGAAGCTATCAGTTAAATACAGAAAATTATGAAAATATTTGATAATTAACAAGTCGCTAAATCGTTTGTAAGCGGTACAGAAATAAGAGTTGGTCATATGATTTCAAGACGTAAGTTTCTGGTGACTCTTGAGGCAATCACTTACTCAAACTATGATTCACTCAATTGGAATTTTTTCCGTACATCCCTATGCAACCATAGACATTCTAGACTATGGGTTGTCAAATCAATCTCGGTTTTCGGCGAAAATTTTTCAATTATGATTTTATAATGCTTAACAAACGAATATTGTTGGAAAAAGTGGTAAGATATCAAGTGGAAACCTACAAAATACACATAAAAGTGTTACTTATTCCATATAGTGAGTGATTTCTCCAGAATTTTAACCCAACTGGTTTGTTTACGTTTACTCTCAATTCTATTGAAATAGACTATAGTTGTAAGAAATTCACCATCTTTCTGCAGATAAAACTCTAATTAAGTCTATAGCTTTTTTGTTATTGCGTTCCACGTGCAGAAACATAGTGATTTTCTTACCATAGCTATATAAAGTAATGACTTTTTGTGGAATATGTCACTTATGAGCAGGGATCGGCATAGGTAGAGTTTTTTTACCTAAACTTCGAGGAACATAGGCAGAAAATGGAGACTGCCTTGCGACAATCTTTTTTAGCTCCTGGACCTGTTCGGGATTCGGAAAATCGCTTAAAACAATAATTGACGTAATTAGGGACAGACAGGTACACTATATTTATTTAAACTTTGCGACGCAGTTGGTCGGATCAGCGATATTGCGGACATTGGATTTTTTTCACGACACATTTGCACAATAGTTTGCACATTTTTCTGACGCGTATAAAGTAGTGAATAGGCAGGTTTGGGAGTGCGTTTAGTGTGCAAATCTACAAAAGATCGATCTAATAATACGTCTCTAGTAATTCCAAGAAGATTGACTAAGACTTTGTAATGATAGGGCACTAAAAGTATGGTCCCATACAAAAAAAATACACATTTTTTTCCTACTAAACTATTGGTATTTATGGCAAAATGTGATATGACAATATTCAATTTGGAAAACAGGATCTCTGGATTGGATCACGATACCTCTCGAAAAAAATTCAATGTCCGCAATATCGCAGGTCCTACCCACTGTGCGTCGCAAAATTTAGATAAATATAGTGTACCTGCCTGTCCCCAATTACGTTAATTTTTGATGTTCTTGATTGATTTCCCGAATCCCGAAAAGATCCAGGACCTAAAAAATATTGTCATAAGGCAGTCTCCATTTTCTGTCTATGTTCTTCGAAGTTTAGGTAAAAAACTCTACCTGCCTTTAAACAGATGATATAGTTAATTTGTTTATGGAGCAGAATTAAACATGAATACTTGATGATTGACTATAATTGCAGTGGGAATTTTCAAGGACAAAAGAAAGTGAAAAGGCAATAACTTTAACATATTTAGTAAATAAAATTAAATTACCATTTATAATAATTTTGGAAACTATTTTTACTACATACTGCCACATAAGACTGTCTATTGAAAAGATCCTTTAAAATAGTTTCATTTCCTATGTGTAACAATCGCGAAAACCTAAGAATTCGATAGATCCTTTTAAAATTCATATAAGCTACAATTTGGGTACTATTTGTTAAAGAAATGTTTAAACCATTTTCCATTCATCATCATCAACTCATTCCTACGTGGCACTGCTGAGCATGAGTCTCCTCTCAGACGAGGGTTTTGGTCATTGCCTGCCATGTTGGCCCATTGCAGGTTGGGAGCTTCACACGTTATGAATCTTCTTCGACGTACAGGTTTCATTGCGATGTTTTTCTACACTGAAATGCTCATGGTAAATTTAAAATTAAATTTCGTACATAATTCTGAGAAACTCAAGAGGTGCAAGCACCGATACAAACCCACAGCCTCTGCTTGAAAGGCAGTAGGTCATACCATTAGGCTATTATGTCTCTTTTATTTTGCATTAAACCTATTTAATTTTAAAATTATTGTTTCCCATTACAGTATGGATGCATACAACATCATCAAGTATCCATTGACCTCTGAAGCAGCAATGAAGAAAATTGAAGACAACAACACATTGGTATTCATTGTACATACCAGCTCCAACAAGCACCACATCAAGGCTGCTGTTAAGAAGCTCTATGACATCAATGTAGCTAAAGTTAACACCCTGATCAGGTATAATAATAATAATAACATGTAGCCTTAGAGTCTTATCATACAAGCAATATTTGAGTGTTGATCTTCTCCTAATCTATAATGACGTTGCTGCTTTGTTACTCTAGTATTTTTCAGTAAAAGGAAGGAAGAAAATTGATATGTCAACAAAAATAAAACTTTTTGGTTTAACGAAAAAGAACGTTAGAGCTTATGCACACGGCGTATTTTATAGGCGCGCCGACGACGCGCGTATACGCGCCGTAAACGTGCATTTCTTCTAAAAACTCACGAATTTCCACAAGGGTTTCAGACTATCTGTATTATTATACACAACTTTGTGTTTAAAGTTGAAAGCCCATCAGTGATGGAAGATAAATTGAAATTGCTTTTATTTACACAATGTATCCACTCATATTACCATGCATAGAGTAGTTGTTTCCCTTGTGGTTGAGGGAAGATTCTGAATTATTCCTGGATTATAGGTTTGTTATGCTTCTATACTGCTAATAGAATGTGTACATTGCAATGACATATTAGTCATAATGTCGTTTCTACATCACCTCTCAAATATTGCATGTGAAGTAATATTTCATATAAAGATGGCATATTATGCTTTCTTTACTTTTTTTCATTAGAACTGGTTTTCAACAATTAACAGGAAAATTGTGAGTTTTTTGTCCTACATAAAATGTTACGCCTATAATAATATTGCACCCTAGTTGTTGACCTCCATTATTTATTTACATGATGATAATTTGTGGGAATCTCATTGATAGAGAATGAAATGACAATTACACATCTCTGACTGTAAATACCTATATTTAAAACCAGTTGCTTCATGATAAATGTTTAATATATTATAATTTTATATCTTTCCAGGCCTGACGGCAAGAAGAAGGCGTACGTCCGGCTGGCAAGGGACTACGACGCTTTAGATGTTGCCAACAAGATCGGCATCATATAAGCGTAATAGTGTTTATTTTATAAGAATAAAACCCGAAAAAATGTGCAATTGTTTTATTAGTTCTCTTTTTAAACCTCGATGGATACGTTAATTGGTAACTACATGCATGGGAAAAAATATTCTCGCTCCTCCTTCCTACCGATCGGAGAACAATGTAAAACCTCCTTTATTCCAGCCAGATCTCAGATCATAAATCCAGCGTTATATTATATAAAAATAGTTATCGCCATGAATAGGTTGTAATATAATTTTAGATATGTTTTTGATTTATACGTTAACAAACAGGGAGAAATGGTAAAACACTGATAAATTAAAAATACGTTAGTGAGAGAATGTTTAATAACAAAAAGAAGGTAATGCTTTTAAAAAAGTACAGTTTCCCTACTGTCCGTTTGTACGTTATTAGCTTAGACTATGGAAACTAACTTTTTTTTTCCATCCTCTTAGGTTATTAGTGATGTACTATTCGTAAGAAAACTATATTCTTCATGCAGTTTTAAAATTCCACAAACAGTTACTATTCATTGCAAATTCCCGAAACAATCGCAGAAATTTTAGTGTCTCACCCATTGACTTACAAATAAATCAATGGTCTCACTACACAAATAGTACCTTCGCTGCCAGATAGTATGAAAAACAGGCCCCCCATGTATTTAATCGTCTCAACAAAAAATTAAATATATATCCTCATATAATTGCAAACATAGTCATATTGATTATCTTAAAACGATCAGTTATGAACAAAAAAAAAGCGCTTTTAAACTATACAACGTAGTGCACACTCAACAGAGAAAGAAACATACACTTTACATATATTCTTTTAAGTATTTTAAGTGTCTTGTAACCATAGATTTAGTATATATAAATCTATGCTTGTAACCATTGACTTACAATTATACTTGTCACCTTATAATTAATATTAGAGTGTAAAAATAATGTAACTGAATTTCTAGTTATGGAAGAGCGGAGTCCTCTGACACAAGTATATTTTACTAACTAGAGGGCTCCAACCATAACATTGTATGTACCACAGACCACATGTATGTACTATGTATGTTGAAAATGAATAAAGTTTTTATTATTATATTATTGTTAGAAAACGTTGCTAGACGACCAATAATGACATATAGGAAAAGAACATGTTTGGTCTATGCTCATTATTTAGGCAAGTTTTGCTCGCCTAATTAGAATTTAAATAGTTATTTGAGTAGATTGTCAATTATTGTTATAAAGTTTGCAAAGTACGTATTAATATGATTTATAAATAAAATAATTTGATACCTATTAATATTTACTGGTAGGTAACAGGTACGATGAAAAAAAGAACGTAATACTTGTTTTCAATTATTTATTATAGTGGTGGGCGTTGAAATTTTTTTATCTTACCTAAGTGAGCGGTGAGCCAAAAAGTTTGGGACCTTATGGGCAAGAGTATAAGTACATATGTATAAACGATCTTTTATAAAGAGACAGCTTGGAATGCTTAAATTTGTTTATTTCCTAACGATATCTATTTACTACAGCGTTTTCCTATCATTATCATATTCTTCTCCCAATAGTTTTAGCGAGCATGGTGGTCCACGGGCAAGATGCGGTTTTTTACTTACAATAATCTGTCCTAAATATATGAATATCTATGAATCTGCCGAATAGCCGTCTTATTGCAATTTTATCTACCCCCAATTAGGGGGCAATTTTACCACTATCGATATTACATTTAAAGATTATCTTCCTAAATTCCTAGACATGTAATGTATAGAGTTTCTTCGTTTGAAATAAAGTTAAAATATTTTTTCAAACTGCCTCAAAAATTCCTTACTTTTCCAAAACAACTTAAGCAAAACAATATAAAAGCTTGTACGGTATGCTGTTCGGTATGGTGATCCACGTATCTAGATTACGTAATTTTATTGTAGATAATAATACGTAATATAAAAATTTAACCAGTTCCGTTATTATTATTAAATAATTCATAACAACGGATTCTTTTCGTTTTGTTCGTTGTTGTATATACATTTCCTTTGGTCATATTCCTCTCTCGATCCATTTGTTTTCTAAATCCGTATCCTACATTTTTAAAAATAAGTACAATTAATTTAATTTTTTACAATAAATTTTGTAGTTACCACAAAGGAAACGAAACGTCCAATCACGCCATTAGCAGAACAAGGAGTATCACATGATATAACTAAGTTACGTTTATTTTAATAGACCCAGACTTTTCTTGAAATGATTTTAAATAAAACACATTTTTGATATTTTCATTATAAATCATTCGTTCTTACATAACATCCACGTCTTTTTTGTGAATGTCCTCTGCGGCTAAAGTCGACGACCATGAATTTATTTGCATGACTTGCCGCCACGTTCCAGATTTTACCAAAATTACCAACTTCGGCATGAATTTGTAGCTGTAACATTCACAGTACATATGACACTAGCACCAGTCAACTTGTGTTACAAACCGAGCCCACTACATGAACACCAAATGTTGTCAGCTGGTTTGGGTGCACAATTGGTTAATAAATTATCTTTAAAAGTATTGTTAATGTCTAACTTACATAATTTACAGATAGATATCGAAAATATAATGATAAAAATTATGATTACTTATTTACGTAGTATAAAACAATACTCCAACCCCAATACTTTCATTTTAATAATATTAGGGTGTAATCGTTTACATTTTATATTTTATAATTATTTTGTGAAGACATTCACAGTAGACCTTACGGTTCACAGGTATATTTTTATTCCACCTAGTAGGTTACATGCGCACTACGATCATTTATAATGCGTGTTATACAAGTTTGAATAATGCAAAAAATTGCTAGCTACCACAGACATATACTCGTATCTGTTCTAGTTACCAAAGTCTTACTTTACTTTAGTTCTATCTAATATCATGTCGGCGGCGGTTGAAAGATAAAAAGGGCTAAGCGACAGTGTGGTTGATAATGAGTTATTCAACTTGATACTTAGTAATAGTATATATTTTATGTATATTAAAACTGAATTTAATGAAATGTGCTGGATAAGACAAGCATTAAAATTTTATGACATTTTATAAAAGCATTGTAACATACGTGTTTTAATGTTACTTAGCACTAATATTAACTTAATCATAATTCCAGATTTGCTTGTTAAAAACAATTCAGGGTTTATTTAAGTTTTTTTTTTGTTTTTGAAAATATATTAGTAAATGTTCGTAGACAGATTGTCTTAAATTTTTTTATTGGTGTAGAGCCCTAGTAAGAAGTAAATAATGCAAGTTACCGATTCAGTTTTATTATTGTCAGACATTAATGTCGTATTTTAAAAGATTTTTACGTAACAACTTTAAGCAATGTTTCTGCTGCTTTACTGGTTAAAAGTGATTTAGATTTTTATTTCATTCCTTTCCATTGCCTTATCACTACCATATTGGTAAATTTCATTATCGTCTGGGACTTCATTACCAGCAATGGTTTTTAAAAAACCATGATGAGTCACAATGTCTTCATTATCAATAGGTTATTTACGGTGTTCCTCATTTATAAGTCTTAAAGTAATCGTTTTCAAAAGAATAAAAAATCAAGAGAATGCACGAAATGAGACAACGACCTAAAAACGCATTCTAGCTGAGATTTTAAGTTGGTTGTTATGCAAAACTAACTAAAAAATGTAGGGAACACTTCACTAAACAATAATCAAATAACAGCCAAATCGTATGTACGGACAACGGCACATCAGTCTACACATTTTTGTTTGAAAATCGTCTCCATTGCAGCAGAACAAGATACATCAATGTGTAGCTTGATGTGCATATGTACAGTACATACACACATGTGTACATACCTAGCCTACGCTACGTGATGAACTAGATAAGTACGTGGCGGCACGGGCGCAGACAAGATGACCGTCACCTTGTTTCCTGACCCGCTATTGCGTCACTTCGTAATACATATTAAAATCGTTGGCGATGTTTTTCCGCAACCTCATGCTCTTTTGTAAAACTATTGTCCCTCATGGAAAAGACTCAGATTATATCAATGTTTAATTGGCGCTTCCAGTGCTTTGCTTTCAATAAACCAAGTAATGGTTGCTAAATATAAATCTTATAAGACGTCACATTTCCCACCGGGAATGAATAAATATGAAGTTCTTTGAACTGCCTTAAACATTGGTTATTTATGAATGCTTGTATCCGTTTGTACTAACCATAATAAATATTGTGTTTACTTCATTTGTTTCTGTTGACTCTAAAACTGAACTTCGACTCACGCGACTCCGACAACAGCTACCTGTTGTGTTTTGAAGTAGCCATGAGTTAATGTGTAGACTGACCACGTGTAAAGCTTAAGGTTATAAGCCCAGGACTTATAACCGAGGTGTCAGAAAAAAACTTGTTGCATGGTAGTGGCGATGAGATAATAAGTTTGACTGCAATAGCCAATAGCCTTAGGACCCTAAGGGTGAAGGACGCGGGGTACCGTGGGTAGAGGCGATCGACACCGGATTGTTCAGAAACCTATTTTCAAATTTGCAGGTATTCGGGCGGGTGACTTACGTCTCGCCGTATTGGCTGAGTAAGTAGGTGTTAGCAACACTTGTTAAAAATTGTTTATTTCTGATAGAGCAATTTATTACTGATAATATAATGAATCGTCATGCACACAAAGCCACAAATAATTATACCAACTCATCTTGACTTAGTATTAATTTATCGTTCAAAATATTTATTTAGTCGAGTATGTCGGTAGGTAGGTACCTATTTACCAATTTGTAATATGCAGCAATTTTATGCGCATATGCTGATGTTCCCGTAAAGTTACTTTATTCAATTTATTATGAGGATGACGTGGATTATAAATAAATAAGAGGGCACAAAAGCATCGTGACAGGGCATTCATTATCCTCTATTTCAAGTGAAAAATGTGGTTTGACGTACTATTTTATGAAATCTAGCTATGCGTCGTCATATGAAATTTATATTACTAAGCAAAAGGGACAAATGAATGAAGATGCGTATTATGCTGTACTTTACACTTCGGGAATATCTTTAA